TATAAAAATAACGAGATATTTTAAAAAAACTTCATGTGACACGAATTTCGAATTTATTTTCACATATAGAAAAGCAGTCTCAGGGAAATGTCACACGACTAATAGGGGGTTAAGGACACATTATTTATTAAATTATTATTATGATAATGATAAAGATGATGAAGATGATACATGAAATTGAGAAAATTACAACATTATTTATACATGTTAAAGGTTCTATCATCCAATTCTCTGATTTCTTTGAAATCCTAATTTATCTTAATTAAATGTATTATTTTGTAGAATTATTTTCAAGTTATTTTTAAAGTGATCAATCATTTAAATTAAGGTTTCTGGTCCAAACTGTTTTCTCAAAGTCCAAATTAGTTTGAGCAATTTGGGCTTCTCAGCATTTTTTATAAACATGAACATTAAAAAACTATTCCAATCAACTTATTTTAACTTAAACAACTTTAAAGTAATTTTGCCCAATTTTGGTTAATAATAAAAAATAGTTTGGGCTTATAAAAAAGTAATTTTTGCCCAAAGTGTTTCAGCAATTTCGGCTACTAATAAAGAGAGTTTCAGCTGAGCATAGTGGAAATTTGAAATGTCACACTAATTTTTTATATTGTGCAACGTAGCTTTACAATACACGGCAAACATTCTGGCAATAAAAAGTAAGTGATAAACTGGATTTGAATTGGATCTGAACTTGATCTCCAATTTAGAGAGGTAACAACTATATACTGGTAAGTTTCAGGAGCAATGAGTTCTGTATGACATTTCGTGTAACAACAAACTTCCACTATGCTTTTCAGCTGGAAATCTTAATTTAAATTCCTTCATTTAAGGGTAAGGGGAATCATGTGACTAATTTGATAGTAAATGATGGCTCAAAAAAATTTTTAATAACAATATTGATCTACATAAAAATATCCAAATAAATAATATTTAATATAATGTGTAAAAAAAAAATATAACATATCAATCTGAAAAACAAAACAACACAAATACCTTCAAGATCTCTTTCAAATTCAAATTCTAATAATTCTCACTTAGTTTTAATAGGTAACTTCATATGATGCAGTTAAAATTGTTAAATTGAGTTTTTTTTTTTTTTTTGAGGAATAGCCTCATATTGTGAATTATTTTATTTAATAAAATTATAAGCTTTTATAAAAAAAAAAAAAAAGTCAAATGTGTGTATATATATAATTATATTTTTATCTAAATAACCAGCCATTTTACAAATAATAATCCCAGGAATAAGAATAGACTAATTCTTCAGCACCTTCAGCAACATCTATTATTTTAGAA